ATTTAGAAGACAGTTGATAAAAAAATCAAACAAAAAATAACTGAATACACATATACTTATTTACTTAGTTTGTTATATCATTAAAAGTAAGGAAATTTTTTCGAGTGGTGTAATATTGTGTAGGGGTTAACTTTTTTAGGATTTTCTATGTTTTTTTTAATTTTATATTGCTTCTATTATAAACGGTGGGTCTTTTATCGACATAGAACGTTCAAGGTGCGAATAAATTAATTCTGTTAGCACACAACTGTGATAAAACTTTATCAAACCAGGCAGCATTGTTGTTTCCCAAAACTCTTCACTTATCATTTCAACTCTTGCGTTACATTTCTTTTAACTGACAAGGATATTTATTCTTTTTTATCCATCTTTTTCCGTTTTTTTTATTTTTTATTTTTGGTAATGAATTGAAATTCACCAAATATAAAAGTCCAAGTCAATTAATCTAATACACTAATACTAATATAAACACTACTACACTAAAAACTAGAACTAATATGACAATTAAATAAAAATTATATATATTTAAATAGCGCAACTTTCACGATATGCTCCGCTCAGTCCACAAGAGCTGCGAAAGGGATTTTTAATTTATTATCATAAAAATAATACATATTTCTAAAAAGTAACCAAACCAAATTATTTTATTTTGTATTGCAAAGCAGTAGATATTTTTTTATATTCCTTTGATAAACAATGAAGGAGTAAAGTGGTTTCATCTCAACGATTTGGAGGTGATTTGGGTATTTTTTTATTTATTATGTAACACCGATAGAAAAATTATGGCTAAACCAAATTACGTATCAGATCATGTAGATTACTAGCTATTTTTTCATATGTAATTTCTCTGTAAGTATCGACGAGAAGTTGGTTCATCTGCACGCTTTTTTCAAGCTTTTTGCGAGAGAGCAGACTTAATAATAAATGCACTTTGTTCATTCATATTCAAAATTTCAAAACACTTTATACACAAACACCGTGTCGAAGACTGAGGAAAAGAAACGACGTTAGACCATCGTTAGACAATGCACGGCCTTCAAGCCACACCTCCGTGCCCGTCGGAGAGCGTGAGGTTTTTTCGTTACGAAATTTCTGGATTTTCCCGCACTGAAGGCCCGCGATAGAAGCTATGCAATAGCTTAAAAAGGAAAAAAATTATACTACTACGACAAAAGTAAAAGGAATATTTTTGAAAAAAAAAACCTAATAAGTTAAATATTTAATGAAGTAGAGCAACCTTCACCTGTGATCTCGAACGTATTTATGCAAGGGGGGAGAGCTCCCCCTCTAATGGCTGTTGCAGTAAAATAGCAAAGCTAGATGAAAGCCTTAAGGGTCACTTGAATTCCTTCAATATTTCTATCCGAAAATTTTCAGATCATCAGTAAAAATGCCTTGTCGTAATACCAAATTTTTGGTGAATTCGAACCATAGAATACTATTATACTAATACGAATACTATAATACTAATACTAAAATATATATACTAATCATGTGTATATTACTATTACATATATATACTAATCATTAGCACCGAGCTTCAGGTTTTGTTTTATAATACGCGACAGAGTTCTAGCGGAAATTTCATTTCTCGCGATAAGATTTTTTGCTTCCTAATGGGATTTTGACGACTTCTGGCTTTAACAGCATTAACAGCACGCGGCCGCCCCGATCTTTTTTTGGTCTTCAATAGAGGAAGTGTTGTTGTATCTGTTGATAGTACGATATGCGAACATACGGCTGATACCAAGCTTTTGAAGTGTCTGGATATGACCGACTCATACCCACTTTGTGCAAGGCGATCACCGCAATCCTATTTTCTTTAACACCCCATTCCATATTGTAATTTGATGATGAACACGAAAAAATATGTGAAATGGCGCGAAATCGAAAGAACTCTTAATAAATCAATGTTTAAAAATAATGAACGCGTTCTAAATTCAAAATAATTAAAAAGTTGAAAAAAGAAAAGTTCAAAAAGTACGAAAATATCAATTTTTAATTTTATTTATTTCTAATTCACTTGAAAATAGTTCTATTTTATGTGGTTTTAAGTACGACTTTTCTACATTTATTCTTCTTGTAGAAAAAAATATATATTTGCAGTAATAAAATCATGAAATTACAACTTTTAAGCCCTTCAAATAAGAAAATTAAAGCATTTCTAAAAAAAGTGACCAGATCAGGTTATTGTAGACAATATGTAAATAAATGTAATCTGAATACTTTTCTTGATATTGTTATAGTTTGTACATAGCAGAAGCTTAAATGAGACCTTTTACGCATGTAACTGTGGCGGCGCTGTCGTCGCGCCGTAAGCGAAACACACCAAAGCCTAAATCACGCTATCAAAATTCCGAATCATAAACAGTAAATATGAAACATCTCCTAACTATCACTCGGAGTGTCGGCCGCTCCCCGGGCAGAACACCTTGCCTGGCGGGAGATCTCCCCTTTTCCTTTCACGGCCACATAACCTAAACATAGGCATGTTTAACGCCTAATAGAGCTATTAATTTAAACACCAAAATAAAATTAAAAAACAGTTTCGAAAATTTCAAATCCTTCACTTAAAATAAACGTAAAATATGTTTCATTTTTTCTTTTATAAATACTATAAAAAATGTTTATTTTGCTGTAAATTTTGCGACAACACAAATTTTTACAAGACTGGGCCCTTAAGATAAGAAGGATAACAAAGATTAAAGAGAACATTGTAAAGAAGTGACAGAATATGAGTATTCGGACGAAGATGAATAGAATGTCACTTGAGTTTATTACCAAACCAAGAAACATGATCATATATTTGGGTAAGGCCGTAGATTTGCCACTTAGTATCATAGAGTAACATAGACGAGACGACGAGAGACATAGAAATGTTATATGTGGTAGAGCCACGCTGCAGCTGTATTATGGTTGTAGCATGAATAGGTCGGCTCGACCGGAAAAGGACCACGCTCTCACAGAATACCAACGTAAAATAGCAGCTCAATGTTGCTGTGTTTCGTATGGAGAGTGTAGAGAACCGGAGACCCGTTTTACTGGAATCAAGACATTACATCTTAGTCCTCAAGGGTGACAACGCATCTGCATTGTGATTCTTAATCGGGGTTAAATGTCGATGTCTATGGGCCACAGCATCCACTTACCACCAAGTGGACTGTGTACTCGTTTGTCACCCTAATCGTGAAAAAAGACACTTCTGTGTTACGGTAACATAGAAGTAACGCGATTAAAACTTTTAGAAAAAAGTTGATATTTTTATAAGGTTGCTATGCCAACAAAAAGTATATTTATTAAATTACAATATGCACAAACCTTCACAACAGTAAAATGTTACGAAACATACAATCAACGTTACATAACAACAACGTGACACTAAATCTACATAGAAGTAACGTTAAAGCGCGATTATTCAAAATTATAAATAGACATAACTCGACATCTGAAATGTATTTGAATTTTTTTTTAAAGAATATTAACAATGCTATAAACATTACTAATATTCCCTTTAACCACTCGTGGTAAGCTTAAATTGCTTGTGTTACGACTCGTAACACAAGCAATTACTAACTCGTAACTTACGAGTTGTTCACGCCAGTATTCGAATGGCGGATTTCAATGCTTTTTAAGGGAACATTTTGGTAACATACAAAGTAGTTACATAGAAGTTAAAATATGAAACGAATGGAATGGACACGAAAAGCACGATGTAGTAGCACAGAATAGATAATAGAGTAGCTTAACATTGAAATATTTCAAATAGTCACAAATTAATTAAATGTTCATTACAAAAAAAATAAGTTTTATAGTGTAAGTGCCAAAAGGACGTCATTTTTTCGTTAAATTTGGGAGTCTCGACGAATTTAACTCGTTGTATTTTTTTTATGTACAACTTACATAATTTTCTTTAAAAAGTGGCAAAATCTACGGCCTTACCCATTTGCACAAACCAATTATAGATCTTAAACAAAAAATTTGAAGTCGCTCAAGTTTATCAAGTTGCTTCTAGGTGATATTAAGATGGCTGACATCTGTATAGGGGCATTTTTTTATTTTGTTGTCTCATTTTTTTAAAGTTGAGTAAAAAATAAAGTTGATGCTTTTTCTTTTAAAATTAATTAATTTAGTTCCTCATTCTGTGAATTACCATTATTTATAATAATAAAACATAAATAGTACAGAAATAAGAATATAATTACCTTTTACTTAAAGAAGTTAGCAAAATGTTATCCACTGAGAAACAAAATGTTGGTTTGTAAAAAATATAATAAAACTCAATGTACATTATTTTTTTTTATTTCATGATTAAAATAATGAGAAACATTAATGAAATAATGTCAAATAAACATAAAACATAACTAAAGTAACCGAGTATTTGGAACAGTAAGTCCTGTGAGTTACATTGCTGACTTTTCCGCATACTTTTTATTCTTCTAAAATTGGTAACTACGATCATATGACAGTTAAAATCCTTCTATAATTAATTAAACATTTTCATAAAACGACAAAATATAAACAAAACACTTGCATAGCAGAAAATCTAAAAAAATATTCAAAATCAATAAAATAAAATAAGGGGACAATCTCTCAATGGAACGTAACTAAAACGTAAAGCCGTGTCCACATTATTCAATTAATACTATTATTTTGGTAAATATAATAAACATAAATGAGAAACAATGCAACATCTTATAAAGGTATTCTTGGTGTCTACTTATCCTATTTAGATATTACTATAAATCAGTCTTTACTAAGTTACTAACAGCTATTTCTATAATCAACAAAATCAACTAATAACTGATTATAAATTATTGAAATCAATTATTTATAACAAAATTCACAGATATAATCACAACTAAGATTTAAATTGCCAGAGCATTTTATACAGTAATAGAAACCACACCGGGTACACTTGTTTAGGCAAGCATTAAAAAGATAATGTTTTTTACACTGATTACATGGTAAAGTGCGTTTAATTATTGTTTTCAAGGACTTACATTTTTCGGTTTTGCTCGCGGTGAATACATTTTCGGTTGATATATTCTTAATATCTAAAATGTTAATTTTTTGTTTTTTAGGAACAGGTTCATCCATGACATTTTCCTCAGCACCATTATTCAAATTTATATCCAAGTCCAGGCTAATATCATTTAAGGAAAGGGGTTCTTGGTCCTCAATCTGTATCCGGTTGAAATCCATATTTTCTTTGTTTGAATTAACGATTTCATCAGAGTTCTTAGGTATCGGTAAATATTCCAGATTGTTTTGATAGTTTTCATGGATATCAGCTGTAACCGTGATCACAACATGATCAGGCTCAGCTACTTTTGCGACTTTCATTGGAGATTTTTTGGTTGATGTAGCAGATGAATCAAAGTTTGAAGAGTTTTGTATGTCCGTTTGATGATCAGGAGAAAAGTTAACAATCTCAGTAGGAGAATCGCATCTTTTGGTAATCTTTTGTAATATTCTGTTGTTAAAAACATGTGTTTTCGGAACGAAACAATTACAACAACCCCTTTTAATGCCACAAAAACAGGACAGAGTTCTATATTTAATGCAGTTTGGTGTACATGACAAAATTTGATGTATTTTCATAGTGCCTTTTATTGTGCTGAGATTTTCGGGTATAATCTTTTTAATATTATCAATATCTCTGTTGGGTATATATATAATTTTTACGACTTTCATACATTTTGAAAGATGCTCGTATGCTTGTAAGCCATTCTCAACATCCCTGCCAAATGCAACTTGACGATCTAAAGCTCTCTTAACCGAACCTCCTATGCCATCCGCCACTCCTTTCCCATGACCTGCTTCAGAATACGACCAGGTGGTATAATCAAGCTTCAACTTTTCTGTGAATAAATTGAGCAGGAAAAAATTGTTTCTTTGACGATATTGGGAGGAAGGGCCATCAGAAAAGAAGTGCAGTACTTTTGTCAGGGGGGTTTATTTTCTTGATCTCACGGATCACAGGCAAAAGATGCGCCCAAATGGCTGCAGGTTCATGGGCATTGTTGTCTGATATCGTACAAAACGACTGTGATTTCTCAGTACAATAAATCATTCCGGTATGTAACGTTATTTGTCTCTTAGAAGCACCAAAATGTTGAGCTTGGATTTCTTTCCCCATTTTGCAACCATAATTTTCTGAAAAGTCACATATTATTAACGCTTCATGAGGCTTGAGGTTGTTAACACACTCTTGGTATTGTTTTTGTTGGTAAATCCAATTGAAGTGATGAATTTTAAATAATTTCATATTTCTTTCAAAAGCTGATACCAAATCGCCGCGGCTGCCTTCTTTTTGTAGTTTAACTGTTCTTTTTGTTGTAAATTCTTTAGAGATCTTGTTTTCTATTTTTATATATTTATGATCGCTTATACCCCACTGATGCCACTTTACTCTGTCTTCTAGATTTTCTTCCAATGAATCATAATGTATTTTATTGTCTTTGCACTCTTTGCATTCTCCATACATGCAATCTTTCGACTGTATGCTACAACACTGTTTTTTTATAACATCATTTACAGTATTAAAATTATTTAGGATTTGATATTTTTTTAAGTGCATAAAACAACATATCAGTATTGTTGTGTTTAATGCACAAACACGTTTCTCTATTTTCAACCGTTGGGGATAAAACAAAAAAGGGTCTATATTTGAAAAATGTCGCGAGACTATATTTTCCACCTTCTTCGCGATACATTTTATATAAGTTAGAGACCGTGTCGGTCAGATATCGAATCTGTTTCTTTTCTTTATTCATTGTACGGCATTGCTTTTTCCCTGCTGTCATCCTACTCACGTCGTCTCTTATATAAAATGTTTCTATTACTTTTCTGATTTTAGTCTGCATTCCGCTTTGGAGTTTAATTCTTGCCAGACCTCTTAGGCCTAATAATTTGGAAACAAAAGTTTTGTTAATGGAATGTTGAACAATGTTGTCAAGAACAATTTTCTTGATATTACGTTTTTCTTTTATGGTTTTGCATCCCATGTAGGATTTTTTTAATGTTGCTTCTAATATCTCCTCTCTTGCTTGTAACTTTAATATTTTTTCTTCAAGTTCCTTAACTTTTCTATCTGTGTCTTGTTTTTGACGATATAAGCGTTTCTTGTATGTACTTACAGTTCTCATTAAAGTTTCTATTTTTTTCAGAGCCGCCTTATATTTTCTGAATAATTTATTTTGACATTTCTTCTTTGGTGTGGTATTGTCTATGTTTTCCTTTTCTATTATTTGAAGTTCCTTTTTTTTAATTGTCTGCTTGCGTTTCTGATTTCGCCATATCTTTCGTTGTTTTTCTTTATCTTTCTCCGTTAGTTCGTTAATTTTTTTAGTTTTAGATTTGACATATTCTGTATGCTTCTTTTTAACATTATTATACTTTTCCGGATTCTGTTTTAACCTTTCCCTATATTTTTTCATTCGTTCTGCTGCAGTCATAGCCATTTTATCCCTACAACAATGTATTATAATCATTAATTTCAAACAGTACAAAATAGTCAAAAGCAAAATAAAATTTGGACTAAAATGAAATCTAATGGCCGTGTGGATAAAGGCAAAACCGAGAAAAAATGTTTTGCAAATAATAAAAAAATACATATTACTTAAATTACTTGCACTAGTTAATATTATCACTATATTCGTACACTATAATAATATTATAAGTATTAATATATGAATATTTATAATATTATTAAAATCGATATAATATTGCCAATATTATAAGGATACTGGAAAAATAACAATATGAACGTAACTTTAGCCTTGCATTGAGTTACATTTTGATCCGTTGAGTTACAAAATTTCTCAACGGAACGTAACGATTTTGCCGTAACTAAGTAATATGCTAAACATTTTCGATTTTTTAAATAAATTTAACTTAATAGTTAACATATTTGAAATTCACAGATTGCATAACTAAATAATATCTAAACACTGCATAAAACATTGCACTTACCACAGAAAATACCGTAATTCAATGGATTACAAAATGTAACGCCTGACACGTCCTCTTCTCTCGGGCGCTGTCATGCACACTGACGCCATTTATACATTCACAATGGCATCATGCCACGTCTTCTTAAGTGTTGTAAGTTCATAAAAATAAAATGTTGCATCGAAATTTTTGATGAAATATGGAAAAAAGTACGTAACTCAATAGGACTTTCCATTGCGGTGCATTTTATGTCGACGTATTTAATTGAATTTTTACTATACGTGTGTTTTCTTTGTGGTAATTTAAGCATAAAAACTTGACTAAGAACTATATTTTACAGGTTTTAAACTATAAATAGGCATACCCGATAGTGAAAAATAATCTTAAAAATTGAACTTCAATATGTTCGATTTCTAGGAGGACACGGTTAAAACAGCTATTTGCTCACATATAAAGCCCTGTTGTTTTGAGAAAAAACAAATATGATAGCATATTGAAACATATTTTGGGTGCCTATAATATCTAATTTAAGATCAAAATATAGTTTCCACAAAAAAATATTTAAATCTTATAAAAATGTTGTATGTACTTTTGGGACACGGGAAAATCCATATCGACAACAAAATAAAAAAATGCCCATAGTCCAGAATTGGGAGAAGAAGAGGTTGAGCAAGCGCAATTTTAGCGGCAGTAGTTAGCGCGAATTCGCGCACCATCGCGCGCGTCGCGGCGAAATTGACGCTTCCGCTCCATTCCGTTCCGCCACAATATAAATTGAGCCTCTGTGCTGCCTCGTTGGTCTAGTGGTTGTAGTAGTACGACTGCTGATCATAAGGTCCTGGGTTTAAATCTCGGGTGGGGCAAAAAAAATAATTATTGAGTTTTTCCGTCAAGAAATTCTCAGTAGTTGCCCGGAGTCAGGAAGTTGGCGGTGTCTCACCCCCGTGCCTCGGAAAGCACGTAAAGTTGTTGGCCCTGCGCCTGATCTCTCTCCGGTCGTGTCGGTTTACCGTCTCATCGGGTTATGAGAATGAGGGAATATAGAGTGCACTTGGGCACTATAGTCCTATCCTGCGTCGATGGCTAGCCTCTGCTGAGGCAGGCCGCCGTGGCCGAAATTCGGTCTGGAGGACATTATTATTATTATTATGAGTCTAAGAGTCATGTCACGTCATAATCTGAATCGAGATGAAATGTTACGAGCCGTAGGTATGTTAGAAAATGCTGCTATTCAACGCGTCGTTACTGAGGCCCTACACACCAGCCAAAACGTGACATCAAGGTTGTGGTCACGTTATCGCAGTACTGGGGATATGGCTGAACTGCACACGGGTGGATATCGTGTTACTACGCAGAGACGGGATCGATTTCTCCTAATGATCGCTAGAAGACAACCCGATCACAGCGATGCAACTACTATAAAGGCTCCAGAAGGACCACCAGATATGTTATATGATATGCTGATAAGTGACCAAATCGTGCGAAGTAGGTTGCATGAAGTTGGTTTTCATGCTCGAAGACCGCTATCTTATGTAAATATTCCAGCACTGCGACGTGGCAATCGCGGTCGGTGGCTTTCGTGGGCTCGGGAGCATTCTCCATGGAGTGACAAACAATGGTATTTGGTGCTGTTCACCAATGAGTCCCGGTTTGGGTTTCATCCGGGTTCACGAAGAACACGCGGTTGGAGAACTTAAGCACCCTCAAGAGATCCACTCATACCAAAGCGGGACAACCATGATGTGGGCAGGAATTCGTCTCGGCAGACGAACCCAGCTCGTTTGGATACAAGAGAGCACCACTGCACAAAAATAACAACTTTACGAACGCCTTACGAAGAACATAGGACATCATACTGCAGCCAGACATAGAAAATTTAATCTTATGTACGAACAATTGATATCGATGTGTAATGTAAGAGGTAGCAGCACTGATTATTAATAATTAGATTTTATAAGATTTTTTCAATTTAATTAAAATTAATAGCTTAGTAAGAAGAAATGAAGATTTTTTTATTATACAAATTTTCAAATGTTACATATTTTTAATTTTTATTAAGGACCTTAAAATAACCTATCAATCTTCCATTTACTATATCAAAAATTCTTCATAGATTTTTTAGATATTTCATGAAATATAAAATATCAAGAAAACCAGCTACGGCAACTACGTAACCCGCCTCTACATTGTGCTTGGCCCGCCACGCACTTGCCCAGAACTTTCATTTATTTCATTAATCACATTCAATTTGGTATAATTTCAGATAAATGTAGAAGACTTACTTACTCTTATTTTCAAAAACTGTAATATCATTATTTTTATATTTCAATTTAATTTTAAAATCTGGCTACTACTTGAAATATAACCCTGTATAAGTACTAATTTCTTTT